CCGCTGGCCAGAGCTCATTCAGATGTTCCCCAGTGAGATGGGTTATCCACACAATGGACAAAATTCATTTGAGCCAGATTGTAATGCTGTGAGCTTTTTTTTTTTTAAACTTGACTCTTTTTAAAGATGAAAGTTTTGTTTTTGTTTGTTTGTTTTTTATTCACATGAATGAGTCAGCACAGAACTTTCCTGTCCCCAGATGATGTCAAAGAACTCGTAGAATGTGTCGCAGTTTGGTTTATTGTTTTCAGTTGTTGCTGGAGGGCACGTGCTGCGAGGCATTTCAGGAAACAGAACAATTGTAAAAATGAAATGGGTCTCACAGCAAAAGAGACTCATCTATACTACATTAGCACTGAGAAACAATTAGCAAAGAAGAGACGAGACAAGAAAAACTCTGATAGGGATTATTTTGTGATTTTTAAAACCGATCCTATATAAACTATTCCAAATAAATGGCTTCAATTTATTTTTTGACTTTTATCCTGACTAAAGTGACGCATAGAGTTCACACAGTGATCTGATAAAAGTAAAATATACTTACTGTCACAATGGAAGTGTTTAGATTAAAGCATATTCATGTATTAGAATGGCTTAGTTAAAGTCCAGAGAGTCTGAGGCACTCACCATCTAATCTGACAGATTATGAACTATGCTGCAAAGAAGAATGGACAGAAAAAAAGTCTCTGTGTAAAGCTGGTAGATGACTTGCAGCTGTAACTGTAGTAAGATGGTTCTGCAAAAAAGGTTCAGGATGACATTTCAACTTTTCACTACTTTGTATTAGTGAATCACATATAAATAATAAAATCTACTGAATGTTGTGGTTATAATGTGACAAAGTTTTTTAAAAAAGGTGCAAGAATATATTAGCACCTCACCGTGTTGTGCATTTTTCATAAATGTAACTCTGACCACGACTGATGCGTGTCTGATGTGGGGTCGCACTGTAAAGCAGCTCAGCGCAGCTACTGATATCTGTGTTACCATAGAGCTGCTTGGTAACAGAAATTAATCACAGCCAGGAAGTAGGCCGTCTCTCTGCGTGGCCCTCGTTGACTCTCCACAGCTCCCCTGTGCTCTCCCATCAACGCGTGTGCCTGCGCCGTAGAGTTTTCTTACCACAGTGTCGAGTATGCAAATAATTAACAGTCAAACGCTCCACAGCATCCTGCAGCATATGCCTGTGGCTTTGTCTGTGCAGGATGAACTTTGCCTTGGGTTGAAACATGGGGATGTTTAGCGTCTGTGCCAGAGATGGTACAGACACAGGAACATTTACTGCCGTCGCCAATAAAGATGCAACATTATACCACACTTAAAAATGTAGAAAAGTTAAACATTCAGCTTTAATCAATTTATTCAGGAGGGAAACAATTCCATCTTAATAAATAATTTTTTGACAAAGTTAAAGGTGGTACAACTGTTAATATCCCTGATAATCTCTTTAAAGTAGAGGAGTTTTGGAAAATTGACTTGAGTTTTAAAACATGTTGTAATGCTATCACCTTATCCAAAATATACCCAGTTTTGCTTTGACTCAGTCATGCATGTTTGAGGAATCCTTGAATCTGCTGCTGCAGCCATTGGGGGTGCCTTAACAACTGCAACATGCAATGCTCCGCCCATTTACCCAAAGCTCCGCCTTTGAGCATCAGTCTCCAGCTCCTCTAGACTAGTGGCAGCAGTAGATGGAAAACACGTGGTGGAGCTTATCATGCAAACTGCAGTGCTCCTTAGAACGATTAGCGGCATTAGTGGACAGCATGTAGAAGCGTTGGTATGATGACCTGTGAAGGGGGAGTGTCAGAAAGAATAGGAGTAGGAACAGAATCCAATTTAAAGGCATTGGGTATGCCTATGATGAGAAGTAAAAAGAAAAAAATAATTGGCTTTGATATACACAGCATTTTATTACAAATGCAGGTAACAGAGTTACTCGATTCTGGTATAAAATGGCAGAATGTTCCAGGAAAATAAACAACAGGTTATCTGTTTTATTCTGATCCATACTTTATGTCCAAGTAAAGACAGAAATGTTTCACAAGATATAAACATAACTTTCTTCCTTGCAGAAATGAAAGAGAAATTTATGCAAGAAGGAAACAAATAAGATCACACTTCCTATTGCTTTGAAATGTTGAAGAAGACTAAGCGATGTTCTGGCCTCGTCCTAATGTCTAATCAAATTTAATTAAATTACTTTTTTTTCTGCATGTTTCAGTGAGTTATAGTAGCGCATTAATTATAAAACAAGTCTTTTAACAGATCATCCCATTTATTTGTTTATTTTTTATCCACCTTTGTCTGTTTGCAATGGTCAACACAAACTTCTTCCTGAAATTAATCATCAATCTGAAGCACACTGAGTCCTTGTGTCATTGTGCATACAGGAACGACATTTGTGCTTGTGTGTGCAATTTGTGAAGTTTGCACAGCAGTTGGGAAGAGATCAGCTGTCCGTCCCTCCTACACGGACACACACTGATGCACACACATTGACGAGCTCTGAAAACATGCAACCCTCCCAGCAGTGGCAGGTGCATGCTGAAGTTTCAGCGGTTTGCGTTCTCCAGGATGACTGCGAAGGCCGCAGTCCCACATGTATCTGCCCTGAGATGCGCACGCGCTGGGAGGGAGGAGGCGGCAGCAGACGCTTTGACTTTGGACGCCAACCAAAAAAAAAAACAACTTCTTCTTTTTGCTGCATTTTCATTTGGTGTTTTTCGGTTACACTAACCCCTCCCCCTCTTTCACACTGGCCCAAATATTAGACTGAGCACTAAGAGGTGATAAGACTTGGTTAAGATGAGCTGCATAAATTAGATTAAAAAAACTTAACTGGTCAATTTTTAAGCCCAACACAATGCTGCAAAAGCTTTCATACCCCTTGAACTGGTTTACATTTTGTTGTGTTATAAACTAAAACGCCAATGTATTTTATTGGGATTTAACATATAGAGTAGCACATAAACCTTGACACAAATTCTTAGTGAAATTTAAGTCTGGACATTAATTGGCTCTTTGAACCTCTGTGTATATTTTAAGTCTTTTGTAGACTCTCAAGATTTGTTTCATTGTTGTCATGTATTTCATAGGAAAAGCATCCCCACCACCAAGTTTTACCACTGGGATGTTGCACAGTTTTAGTTTTCTGTCACATGAAACTTTATCTTAAGTTTCTCTCTTATCTGAAGAGCACCTTCTTCCTCATGTTTGCTGTGGTCCAATTATGACCAAATGGGATTTCCTCCAACACTGGCTCTAATTATTTCTAACAGTTTCCATTGCAACTTTGCGGAATACACTAATGTCAATACGCCTGAAAAACCATCTCATCCTAGCACAAAAATTGCTGTGTTTCCATTAAGCAAATTTATTTTCAGAATTCCAATTTGTGCAATTGCAGGCAGGTCAGCTTTTCTCCCTGACCTGTCTACTGCTGTCCATAGTCTTCATGCTGTTTGTTCTCTAATGTCCTCTAAAAATCTCTCAGGACTTCACAGAATTTTCACAGATTTTTTCTTCTTCTTTGTTTAAGATTTATACTGAGATTAGATGAGGATTCCTTTTATAGACTAGGGGACTACTAAAGATTGCACTGGATTTTACTTCAGGGTATCAGAGTAATAGGTGCTAAATGCAAATACACTGGACCTGTTTATTTGTAATCACTCCGTTTGTTTAAATGAGGTTGAGGACAGGAAGTGATTCATCAGAGAAGCTTGTAATATTTCCTGAAAAGGTGAGGTTCATCCAGCTTTTCCAAGGTGAGGCAGAGCAGCGCGGTGCTACCAGCGCCTGGCGAGCAGGTATAGGCTCTCTGCTGTTTTTGTTACAGGAACTGCAACGTGACACCCGATCCCCGACTCATCAGTCACAACACAGCTTTGTGTTTCTTGAAAACAGTACAGCAAAAGTGTGCCGATTAAAGTCAGATTCAAGCAGGTTTTCCTTCAGCATCAGCTGTTCAAATAAAAAGGAGACGTCTTTTTTTTCATCATCAATGTGAACCCCATAGTCAGTGGGAACTCTGAATCTGGACCAGCACCACACTGGTCCAGGTCAAGCTCGCGGTGTGAAAAATGCCTGAAAGCACTCGGGCTCGTCCTCTCAGGCTGCTGTCATTATCTGGGAAAAGCTCCAGGTTTTGTTGTTGCTGCTGGCTGGCGTGAGATTTCCAGAATTACCAGTGGGGGATGATTCAGGTGATATTCAGCCCAACTATTTCATTATGAAAGCTCAGCATAGTATTTATGAAGCGCCGAGTCACATACGTGATCCCAGGCGTGGTCAATGGATCACAAAGCAGTTAAACACCTTTTTAATTCTGAGATTCTTCTAGGGATATTTGGAAACATTTGATTTTATTTATTCAAGAAAAGTACGCATTTACTGTTTCAAAGGTGTTTATTTTACCACCTTGCGTCTGATTCGTCAAAACGGGTAAAACGTCCTGCTGGTGTTGTCTGGGTCCACCTGCTGCTGCCTGACGGGTTCTGACCCACCGGTTGGCCTTGTGGTGAATGCCACCTGGGTGTTGTTGGTAAAACAGGTTGTGTTCTCAGATGGAGTGGTTGCTTTAGTATCGGTGTCTATGTGGCCAAACTTTGACTAAACAGCAGGACAAGTCCCTTTAAGAGTTACCATATATTGTTATGGAAAATATTTAATGATTTGCAGTTAGTAACATCTGAAATAAAAATAATTTTACTGAAGAAACATTATTTATTGTTACAAAACATTAACCTTCCAAAGTATTCATACCTTTCTTTCGTTCAGTCGTATTTTGTCGCATTACGACTACAAATGTCAATGTATAAAGGTTTGAATTCTGTTTTTATCCAGCCTCTTTTTCTCTGAAACCCCGAAATAAAAGCCAGTTCAAAAACTTGTCTTCTGAAGCCACTTGAATCCTCCTAGGTGTAATTTAATCTCCATATTTGCATGCTAAACTCTGGACCTTTATATTAAACCCGATGTTTTGCTGTTTGTTACAGAGAGGACAGACTAATCTTCCAAAGTGGATGCTTACCAGGATGCTTTGTGTTAGAGGTTGGTGTGCTTTTGTTTTCTGCCCGTTTTTTTCTTACTTGCTTTGTGTCTCATTTGTTACCCATATTTTAAAATCAGACATAAATAATTTAGATATAACATCATGTTTTGTGAGACTCTCAAACATCTTCGCTCTATTACAACTTCCACACTGAAGAGTATTATAGCTAGCAGGATCTTTTGACACACTGTTTACTTATCTAAAAAAGAGATTTGAGTTTTAATTTGGTCACCGACCAGAACTTGTTAGTTCATCTTAACACTTAGATATAGAGCATTAGCTGATATGGTGGTGGATCTGAGTTTAAAATCTAGGCCTTCACCTGCTCTCCAGCCCATTTCTCGGTACACTTCCTTTCTCAACTGCTAGTTTCTGCAAATTATTTTTAGTCTCTTCATTACATTTCATTTGAGCAGCCTAACAGAGCTCAGCGGTGGGTGGCCATAAATGCGTTATCTCAAGTGTACAACATGATTTCCTGAATGGGGAGACTAACTTATGAGTACTCACACTGGAGCTCATACTAGAGTTTATAGAGCCAAGCTTCGAGAGTAGAAATTTCCGGAACGCGCAACAAGCTACTGAAGCAAACAGGAACACCCTGACATGACAACATAGAAAGTGAAAGCTGAGAAAGATGTGAGGGAGGCAGTTAGGCTGACAGTATTTGTGTGTGTGTGTGTGTGTGTGTGTGTGTGTGTAGTCCTGTTTATGTGGGAAGCTGCAGTTGTTCGCTGAATTACCTTCATCACTGTTTCTTTCTCTGCCGCTCGTCTCTTTTGTGTTCTGCCCTGTCACTTAGGCTAGAGCTTGTTATCAATGCAGCAATGAGGTTTATTATGAAGGTGGCGGATGCAAATCAAGTGTGTGTTCTGCTTTCACCAGCTTTGGTATTTGCTGCCACTAGTTAAAGGTAGTTTTACAAAAAAAGTAGGTCTTGGACAATTGCATTGTAAAATGAAAACCATCCACAGTACGATACACCAAAACAAAAGAACAACAGGTCATGCAAATCCTTTTGTACCTAGAAAGGCAGTGAGCGATAAGGGAGACAGGTTTTTTTTCTGGACATCAGCTAATAGGAGGGAGGAGTGTGTATGTGTGTGTGTGTGTGGTGGGAGGAGACAGGGAGAAGTTTGCGTGTGTGTCTGTGCGGTAGAGAGAGAGAGGGAGAGAGGCAGGGGGAGGAGACAGGGAGCAGAGAGGATTTGTGGCATGTAGTTAGTCAGCTGTCATTAGATGCGGATGACACACACACGGGTAATCTCACAGAGAAGAGAGGAGGGAATACACAACGTGCAGATGACAGTGGCGCGTGTGTGTGCATGCGTGTGTGTGTTTACTGTGTGGACCGTGTGAAAACCAGCTCGCTGGCCCGGTTGGCATGAGATTTTCAGCCGGCTCGCGACTTGTTATGGACTGCTTCAGTTGTTGGCAGAGGTGAGTTACTATAAGGATATATATGACAGCAGATTTAAAGGCACAGTCCGGGAAGTTGAAGTGGTTCAACTTTATGAATCTATTTGGTAGTTTTCTGTTCTTGTATACAAGTTAAATATTGGAAGAGCAAATTATAAGCTAATTATTTACCTCTGAGAATGTTCATATGATAAATATTCAGTTTCGGATCCTTATTGTTCATAGATTTATTGCATTTCCAAATCTCTCCATTTTTATATCAAACAAAATACTTTTAGAGCACTAAGAAACTTTCACTTATCTTAAACTGTGTGATTTGTTAGTCACCATGTTGTCTTTATGTTTCATTATTACCAAATGGGGATGAATTCAATTCACCCAGTTGGCGTGGTTGTCTTACTCAGTCCTGGACTTTGAGCTGTCATGTATTGTTGTTGTGGGTTGTGACACAGTGTGTGTGCGTGTGCGTGCGTGTGTGTGTGTGTGTGTGTGTGTGTGTATGTGTTGCGAAGGGGAGTGGTTATGATGGACTGGTGGCTCACAGATTGTGGAGTCAGCAGGCCTGAAGCTGCCCTGTCACCTCAGGTCTAACCAGCTGACTGTTTGCTCAGTTTGCTTCACGTCCAGAAAAAGAACTGTTTTCATTAAAAAGCAGGTTCCCAGAATTTACAGGTAAAATCCCAGGATTGAGTCTTGAGGCAGGTTTTTATTACAGGTTTGTAGTTTAGTTTAAAATGTAGAGATGTACTAATAATTTTGTTTGTACCTAGTCTAAAAAATAAAAGGTTATAAGTTCTTATATTTCCCTTACTTATAGCTTTTAACACTCCATTGTGTGTCAGTCTTGCTTCTTAATGATGTAAGTTGCATTTGACACGGCACCACACAATCTAAACAGCAGCTTGGCCAGGCTGCCACATATTTTGTTTTATTTATTTTTTTGACATGTCAAAATAATGATCAGGCTGGTTGTGGTTGTTAAACAATACTCAGTTGGTTCTAAGGGGTCAGGGAAATATATTTCACACCATTACAAGCGTCATCTTAAAGCCTTGGTTTGAGGCGGGTTAAATCTGTTGCTTATGTAAAATTTGAGTCGTTCATCTGAAATTCACAACTAAATACAAGACTGATCAGGCCAGGCAGCATCTTTTCAATCTGTAATTGTCCAATTTTGGTGACACTGCATGAACATTCTCAGATTCCTACTTTGAGCTGACAGGATGGTGTGGTCACCTGCTGCTGTAGCCAGTCCAAAGTTTGGTATGTTGTGCCTTAAGAGACAGTTGCTCAGAGGAGGCTATCTGAGCAACTGTTGCCTTTCTATAAAACGTGAACCAGTCTTGCACCAGTATTTTCTCTATTCTCATAATTCTCTTTGGACCATGGAGAAGGTTGTGAAGAAAAATCTCAGCCTTTTATGAAACGCCGTCTCTTAGCAACATCCATGATACATGCAATTTCTTCTCCATTCAAGGCACAGTTTGAACTTGTTTGAACTTCAACGAGTCATCTTAACTGCATTTAGATGCCTAAATGTAGCTAGTTTTCCTAGAAATTTGTGGCTAGTGTTCGGCAGGTAAAATGTTGAAAAATCGGATTCTTTTTTTCTGGTTTATGAAAACAAAAAATGCCCACTTTTACTAAAGATGTCCCATCTCCAGTCCAAACAATGTGAACTGTGGTTGAAGTGTCAGAAGAGGTCTAGATAAAGACGTTTACTGATCTCTGAATGTAATTTTTAGGCTTAACAAGCCTGACTTTCAGTCTCTTTGCTTAAGCTGAGGTTGAACGAGATGTGTTGCCTTTCAAAGTCCAATATGCAGTGTGTTATTCTTGGATGAAAGTAAGATGAGCTGACCTGAAACATTCATAAATATATGCTTGCGAATGTTGTCTTTTGGAAGTCAAACAGAGGGATAAATTTTAATCATAACTTAAAAATTATTTTAAAATTGCTTTGCTTTGGTGCTCAGTTTGCTGTCTAGAGACTGCAGTCCTTGATGTGGTTGTTCTGTTTTGGTTCCCAGTCTTGGCTCAGTTGCTGCATGTCTCCCTCCTCTCGCTCCACAACCTCCTGTCCATTTACTGTTCAATAAAGGCCAATAGTGCCAAAAAAATCTTCAAAAAAGAAATTAAATTAAATTAACCTGCACGCAATTCCTTAGTGTTATGTGTATAATTTGTTAGTAGATCTTAGAATTAAAAAGAAATTATAAGTCTAAATTGGCAGGTCAGATATCAGAGAAAACCAGTACAATATTTAAATTTAAAGCTCCCACATGAATTTTGCATATTTGAAATTTATACAAAATGTGTTATGTATAATCTGAATATGTTTTATGCAAACATATTCAGATTGGTAGAATGACCACAACAAAGCAGCCACTGATAATTTTACTGCCTTAAATACAAATGGAAATTATTTTCCGCTAGACTTGCAGTCATATTAAACAGCCACGGAAGATTCACTAAAGAATTCATAACACTGACGCTGCAATGCGTGATGCAGCAGGATGTAGTGAATCTTGTTTTTTTTACAGTAGGAATGAATTTTAAATGTGGACAAGGACTAAAATCAGAGAAATAAAATTCTTGGCAATGGGAAACTACTTATAAAACACCTAGTAAGGTCTGGTAATACTAGTTAAACATCTAGTAATCTACCTTTGTTAGAAATATGAGCACTGAATTGTAGCTTTTGAAGGAACCACATGAGAAGGCATTTTTGTGTAACATTTTCTCTGTGCATTAAATGATTGTAAAAAAGAAGCACATCATTTATCAGTGATTTATCAAGTTTAAATTTACAAATAATGCTGTCTCAACTGTGTTTTGTCTTTATTTGACCACAGATTTCACACTTAATCATAACAAGAGAACATACGATGTTCTCTTGGAGTAAGAAAACATCAATTGAACATAAAATGGGGGTTAGAATAGATCCCTGTGGAACACCTGTAGTTACTGTTAGGTGCAGGAAGATCATCCTTTTTGATTTATTATTACAAAACCACCTGAAATCAATCACATCAAAGCTTGTGACTGAGAGATTCAAATGTCACACAAAAGAAACTAAACAGAAAACCTGGTCACAGATGAAAGACAGCTGGATATTTATCCCAGAAGTGATGAGCAGTGTTGCTCTTTGCATTCTTATCTGAGCAGGATAAAAAGTCTGAGTGTCAAGAAGTCACTCAGCTGTGACTGTATGTTAATTTTCTCACTGACAATCTGCAGCTCCTGCTGCATTTCAGTCAATCAGTGAGCTGTAGCTGGACTTTGACCGACTGGTCAATAGGACAACGTAGAACTGCTGCCATATCTCCCTTTTTGCACCATGTGATTTACTCTTCCATTCTTCTAAGTTATCAATGTATCCCAATGCACATTTGAGCTTATTTTAGTGTTTATCTGATGAGCCAGAGTGGTTGGGGTTGTTTTCTACATGTATGTCGCATACCGAATGGAAAAGTTCTTTATTGTGTCACGATGCATTTTTAGAGATAATGACAGTATCAGACCACCAGCCTTGTGTTATGAAATAACTGTGAAACGTGAGCTGAAGATGAAGAAATCC